TCGTAATATTTTATTGAGCTTTCTGGTGTTGATTTCCTACTTTGGCATTTGGTCCTTAAAGTCTTGGTTTAAATTAGGGATTATTCTGGCTTTTGGTTTTGCTTTAAACTTCCTCTAAGGATTTTGGTTAAGTCCTATGTTCTTGTAAGTTTCTTTCTAAATTGTACTCCGTAGTAAACTGTTTATTTCTGTAAAAAAAATAAGAAAAGTAAGTAGAAGGAGAGTGGCGAAAATGAATTGTGAAGTAGTGATCTGTAATGTAACAAGATATTTGATTTATATGGCTGATCGTGATGAGATGATGATACTATTTACTTGAAAAATGATCTATGTAGTGTAAAAATAGCTTCAAAATGTCCTACATAATGACCTATGTAGTGTAAATTTACAACCACAAGGACATTAGCTAATGACTTCAAACTAAAGAGACCATGAAATTAGTTTATGGGTAAGGACAATATAGAAACCTAGAAGACAAATAGATTAATTGACTTCAGACGATTGTATAATCAAGGATGGAATTATAATCTACTACCACGTGAATCAAGGTATGTAACAAGAATTAAAAGACTACGTCAAGAATTAAGTACTCCCTCCGTCCCTAAATAGATTACAAATTGCGGGTTACGAAGTAAAATTTCCTACTTTTTGAAATTATTTTATTTACAAATTGGTATATCAATAAGATATAAAAATTACATATTAAAAAACTACGTCAAAAGTTTTACAAAATAAGAGGTGACAAAAATATTTTATTTTATCAAATGCTTAATGAAATCGCGTAAACAAACAAAAGTTATCGAGATGAGAGAAAAAAATTGCAATCTATTTAGGGACGGAAGGAGTATGTACTAAAAAATCATGTTTACTATTCTCCCCTTCTAAAAAGAAATGTCCTAATTTGACCCAACCTGAAGTTTAAAAAAGAGTGAATTGCGTAGTAAAAAATAATGAAGTAAAAAAAGAAAAATAAAAAATATGAATCAAATTTTTTTAAAGATAGATATAAGAACTTTTACGCCAAATTTTATTATTTATTTGATAAAAAAATTTGTTTTCAGTTACGTGTTACGTTGTTTAACTAAAGTTGTTTTCAATTCACTTTTTCAAAAAAATTGGTGTAAAATTTAAAAATAAAAATATATACATAAAAATTATACGGAGTATCAAAAGTTCTACAAAACTTAAGCAAAAATGTTTAAAAACAAGAAATGACATTATTATACTCCGTATTATTTTAAAAGTAATAAAAATTGGCAAAACAGAAAGCAAAATATGTTGAGGAGCAAGAAGAAAGCAGTGCCGAGGAGAAATAAAATGGTAACGCAAAATCTGATGAGGGGAGATAAATTAGGGATTGTGGAGTAATATATATATATATATTTTTCCTAAACTATAGGCGTAAATAATGGCTAATTAACCCATAATTATGTAAATAAAATATTTATAGATAAAAAAAACTACAAAGGAGCGTTCGTTTTTTCCACACAAGTAATCGCCTAGAATTTAGGGGCAGGAAAGGAATTTTTTTAAAAAATAGTCTTAGAAAAGGAAAAAAACATTATTAATCCTATATAGGGAAAACTAGTATGTTTTAGTCTTATACTCAACAAATTTTACAAGAAAATACTCATTTTCTTTTCTTTGTTTGTTTGAAGTGAAAAGTGGGAAGAAAAAAAGTGATGGAACAAAAAAAGACAATTTTGCCCATGGGAAAAGTCAAGATAAAGGGCAAAAAAGTAAATTTCAAAGTTTTCTCCTCTCCTTTACACTTTTCTCTTCAATTCTAGGGAGAAAATTTTGAAGTGAAAAGTCACCCTCAATTTCTTTCCTCCTTCCATTTTCTTTTCTTTCCAAACAAAGAATTTGTATTGGAATTTGTGTTTTCTCTTCCTCCATTTTCTTTCTCTTCATTTTCTCTCCTTCCAAACAAAGCATAAATGTTTCACAAGAGTAGAGCATTACGCCATTACCCAAAAGCCTACCCTACATAACCTGCACATCTAGTGAACAAATCTTTTCTGATTAGCGTCGTCCCTCTCTTGGAAAATTATTGTACAATATCCCTCTAAGAGAGATGCTAAGGGTACACCAAAAGTGTACTCCAAATATACATCACACTCTTCATTATTACTCCATTTTATTTATTTATTTATTTATTTTATTTTACATACCAAAATATGTAGTAATGGAGAAGGTGATGTACATTTGGAGTACACTAAAAGTGTACCCCTAGCATTTTTGTTCTTGTAATTGTGATGAGAAATGCTTGGTGGTGAACACACTTGAGATACACCACATGCACACCAAGTTCAAGATAGGTACAAACAGACACTAAGTGTGTGTGTACGTGTACCTATTTTAGACATAGTGTACGTGTGGTATACTCATAGCACTCCTCAATTGTGGTTGTATTGAATTGAAATAAAAGCCAAAGTTAACATTGGAAAATGCTAAAAACCCTCCACCGTTGCTACCAATAATGCCCCCCCTACATAAACATGTGGTAGGGAGGCAAAAAAATTAAAATTAGAAGGTAGGTGGAGAATGAGTAGAGATAAATATGTGGTAGAGAAATGAGTGGAGGCAAGGTTGGTAGCAAGGGTGAGGGGTGTGTAGCACGGTTCAAGTTAACATTATTTGAGCAGCTACAACCAACGACGTCGTCAATCCATCATAATCTTCTTCTTCTTACCCGGGTTGGGGTCTAAGCTTCCTAATTAACCACTTCCTGCGTAGTTTAATATCCAGTGCCACAAATGTCATTGCCCTCTTTTCATCCTCTAGGAAATCACATGCATCCAAAACAAGGTTTTCATTTGTTAGAGTGCATCCCACATCGGAAGTCTAAAAGTAAAATAATCGGTATAAAAATTCTTGAGTTGAACTAACTAATGGATTGGATTCAATCTTTTAATGTAGTTCAGCTCAAATATTTTATTACCCAATCCAGTTATCTCTATCTAATTTTATAGTCATCCATCTCCATTATTGCTTGACCCTTCTTTTATCTTGCGTGCCACTGGCAGGGCCACAAAACTTATTTTTTTATCTTGCTTTAATTTAAAAGTAGTTTCTATCACATTTATGTAGTACCCTAGTACGGAGTATTCTTTATCTCTCTCTCTCTATTCACTACATCCAAATTGAGCTGGCAATTGTCATCATATTTCAATTTTTATTGTATATATACGGATGGTGGAGGCACGGAATTAATTCTCCACATTACTTATTACTGGCTTGTTTTCTTGTATATATACGGATGGTGGAGGCTCGGAATTGATTCTCCACATTACTTATTACTTGCTTGTTTTCTTTTTCTTGCCTCATCTTCTCCATCATCTTCTTCCCTTTCCTTGCTTCATCTTCTCCATCATCTTCTTCCCTTTCCTTCTAATCTCAATGGGGAATTGTTTTTCCAGAAATCATCCAAGAACAAGAGATGACAAATCCAACGGTTATATGGATGATGAGGTTCATGCATATATTTTTCATTATTCCGATCTTATTCGTTTTTTTAATTTGATGATCAAGAAGAATATAATAATGGTGAGGGGTTGTAATTTTTATGTTTTGTAATTGTACTCAGGAGCATTTCCAAGCTGCAATGTCTCACACCTCGGTGGTGGGAATGTTTATCCAAGATGGGACTGTCGTGGGGACTGATTCAAGACTCACCGGGTTGATTAACCGAACACCCTTCATATTACGTGGAAATCCAGCACTGAAATTGATGCGGCACAAAGGATTCGCTAGTGCCGTTAGCGGATGGTGGAATGAAGGATGTGTAAGAATTCATGCACACATAGAAGAAAAAGTAATAAGTTATTCATTACTTGATATATATTGTCTTTAATTCATTATTAATTGTTTGAAATTTTGTTTAATTATTTTTTCGGGTATTGTTAAAATATAGTCCCGAGAGTATGCAAATCGATTCCCCAGAAGGGCGAGAGTTGATGTGATCAATAGAGCTGTTACTTGGGCGGTGAAAATCATCCGAAGCTTGGGTAATCGTAAGGCAGATTGTACACTCTTCGAGTTCAGTCAATTTGGGGTATGTGTAAATTTTTAAGTGTTTCACTCCCCAAGCCATGCAACCAACTAGGTTATTGCTCTCCAAGTCAATTTGGAGTAATAGATTTTGAAACATGGCCATGTCCTGCAAGTATCTAAAACAACCTTCAATTTTCAGAAAAAAAAAGTTGCGTTTGTGTAAAGTAAACTTATTTTACAAACTTTAAAAGTAGTTAAAAAAGAAAATATTTTTATGCAAAAATAAATATGAATAATTTATCTAAAAATTATTATCGTCCTAAAAAATCAAGTAATATTCACTAATTATTTCAAGTATACTTCAATTTATTTTAATTAACTAAATATAAGTTTGAAATAGACCCATCGGCCCAGGAAATACTTCTTATATTCTAACAAAAACTCTCTATGATTATATTGCTGCTAGCCTTTTAGTGTTTTTATTCAAAAAAAATTTGTTTACGTGCATAAATTGGTTCAGTACCACAAATACCAAAAGGTCGAAGTAATTCATTAACTTACTGAATACAGAGTATATTACGGAGTATTATATTTCGTCAATATACGTAGTAGTGTAGTACTCCGTATAATTTATACTCCGTATCCTTTTCAAAAAAGAGGTGGGACTAAATTCACTCCTAAAATGATTAAATCCACTCCTTTAAATCTTTAATCCAAATTTGCTAAATCCACTCCCATCTTAATAAGTTTGTTAGTTTTCATCTAGAGAGGATTTAGCAAATTTCGATGGAAAGAGTGGATTTCGATGTGAATTTAGTCATATCTTATTTAAAATTATGTTTATTACTAGGGTCCGTTTGATACATAGAATAGACGAGATTGAAATTGAATTGTAATTTGTAAATTAAATTTTTTTTGAATTGATTTAGATAAAATTAAATTCTCCAATTCCAATTTATTTTTGGGACTACAAATTCGAAATCCATATATTTTTATGCTATCAAAAAGCAAAACTAAAATGGTACGGTTGTCCACAATTTTAATTATGTAGTTTGAATTTTGTATACGAAACAAAGTCTTTTATATTCATTTTGGATATCTATTTTCTTATTTGTAGTGTGTTTTCTACCACGAGAAGGAGAGTTGAGCTGTGAAATTCACCTGATGGAGACTAGTGTAAACATTATGGATGCAACAGCGGCACGTGAGGTAATGAGGCAGAACTGGATTAATGGAGACTACGACCTCAACGCACTGGAAACGTTAGTCTATTATTGATATTATTTGGCTTAGCAAGGCAACACTTTTTGCTTTATTTCTTGGGTAATTTATAAAACTAAAACATAATGACTTTCTCAATATAGGACCATATTTTTTTATTTCGTAATGTAGGACCATTGATCATTATCTATTAGTCATTATTCATGAATTTTACTTTGCCTCAATTTCCTTTTCTTTGTCTTATGTTCATGGGTGACTAGCCCACTAGACTTTCTTTGCTCATGGGTTATAAACTCTAGCGTCAATTGAAGTAATGGTGTCTTCAAACGAAATTAATTGGTGATAACATATAGAAATAGGATAATGAATTCATTTGTTATTGACTTGTAACTAACTTCTACACATAAAGGATAAATTTAATTTAAAAGAAGGAAATAAAAATGAACAAAGACTGAATAAGTAAAATTGGGACAACATTTCTATATTGCATCACTAACATATGAAATGCTATAGTACCCTGGAGTATATCAATTTCATACACACACATATACACCCAATGGTTATTTTCTTGAATTAAACATTGAGGAGTATGTTTTTACATTGTAGCTAACCCAATTTTATACTAGTAGTTTTGAAGATCTTTTAGATGTAAAATTTTTTTTTACTAAGAAGTTTAAAAATTAATTTTTTTCATAAACTTTTGACTTTTTCAAAACCCAAACTACGAGGCAGCTTCAACATAATCATTAAGTATTACTACCTCCGTCCCAGAGTATTTGTTCACTTTCATTTTTACATCTAGTCCAATACACTTTTTTAATCCATTTTATCTTGTAATTTGTATATTAAAAAATTATAGAAATTATATATTAATAATCTATATGTTAAGACAAATCAAATAAGATTACACATGACTATATTTAGGCTTACACATTGAGAGAATTTGATGAGTCAAAGTACTTAGATGAACAGTTCCAAAAGTCAAAATTGAACGAATATAGCAGGACGGAGGGAGTAACTAATAATGGAATATTTGTATTATTCAAGAAATAATAGAATACATGAGAGAGTATACAAGAATCAGCAATAGAAGTTGATTAATCTTCAAAAACTAACATAATAATACTACCTCCGTCCCACTCCTTTTGTCCAGTTTTGACTTTTGGAACTGTTCATCTAAGCACTTTGACAGTAGTTTAAGAGAGTTACACATTCAGATTTTTATCAGTACACACTAGAACAAACTAAACAGAATTGTATATCTAATAATTATATATTAAAAATATTAAAAAATTATATGTTTAATGTTCTATTTTACCTAATTTCTTCACGTAACCTACCAGTGCAAAAATGAAAGTGGACAAAAAGAGTGGGACGGAGGGAGTAATAGTAGTAGTAATAGTAGTAGTAATAGTAGTAGTAGTAGTAGTAGTAATAGTAATAATAATAATAATAATAATAATAATAATAATAATAATAATAATAATAATAATAATAATAATAATAATAATAATTGTCTCACAATAACAACCAGTTTAAAGATTCAAAACACAACTATTCCCTTTTCAGATAAGAAACCAAAGTGTAGCTTAGACACCCAAGATATCATCTAAGGCGTAAAGTCGAGACCCGGTCACGGGTCCGGATATTCGGCCTACCTGCAAATTAAAATAGCCGCTTGGACTTGACATTTTAGAGTATGGCCGGACTTGGGCCTTATAAATGGTGTCCCGAATATATTAGGATTAGGCTCGGGTTTATGCTCAAGCCCATGACCACGCCTAACTCGAATGAATTAAAATATATTTTTATCAATATAATTATAATAAAATAATAATAACAATATTTATATTAATAATAATAAAAAGAACAATACTATTCCAAATTATTATAAACACACACGTATTTCTATATTTGGGGAAAAAGTGAACTATAAGTATATTTAATAAAATTAATACATCTTTATTACTATGTTTTGTTTACTACGTATCACACATTAATAATGATATTCTAATAAATCTTCCCTCCGTTCCCAAAAGATAATCTTGTTTCAACTTGTACGCATCCATAAATACTTCTATCCCGCCTCAAATGCAAAAAAAAAACTTTCAAAACAACTTCTACCTACAATAAAGGGTAACTGTGATAAATTTTAGGCATTTTAGATGTAGGTAAAAGTATTTTATAAGATGCGATAAAAATTGAACATCTTTTTGAAATGGAGGGAGTAATACTTTGTACTCCGTACATAGCAGCAATATTAAACAAAATACAAGTAATATATTAGTTATTTTTCATTTACTCATTATAATATTTGTTATATCAAACATATAATATATTAACACATTATTTTATTTATTTTTAATTATTTTAAAATTTTTGTCGTGCAGACCGGTCCGGCTCAAAACGCGCGAATATTCACGCCGGATATTTAAAAGTATTATTATTAATACCAATCCCATGAAATAGGAATGTCATTATATCCGAAACAATTTAAAATAACGAAGTGATAAATAAAACAATACAAAAGCAAATAAAACTTTAACCAATACATATTAGGCTACAAGCCCCTAATTTATTCAATTTATTTAAAAAATGATAAATAGTAGAAGTCCACGCCATGCCGTCGCCTCTTCCACCTCAATGCCCACCGAGATCATTTCCATCATGTTCCTCTATACCTACGCACAGTCACACAAAAAAGAAATTGCACGCTCGACAAAACCACTGAGTGGTACCACAACGTAGGTTTTATAGAATAATCCAGGATATACATTCTCATACTAAACAGTCATTTATCCAAAAACTCATATTTCCATTTTAATCTAAAATGTCCATCATAAATCCATAATTTAATTTATTATTTCCTTGCCTTCACCTGGAGTCATTCCTGTCAAGAACAACTCAATAAGACTTTCCCTGCGTGAATCAGGGTCCGAGTGCCCTTCTCTTCAAGTTAAGAATTTGGTCCGTGGTCTTTCCTAGTCTAGGTATAAATACTCTTCTTGTTCTGAACATACGGGTTGAGTAATCCTTGGTTGCCTGACCGGTTCTAAGACCTTATGTACGTACCTACTCAACACCCATAATTGCTCACATCTAAAAACTCATCCTTAATCATTGACCTCAAAATTAATCTATTTAAATCATCTCCAAAATCTCATTCAAAATCATTCAGTATTGGGGTAACACAATTATAAAAAAAATATAATATTTTTAAATAATCACAGTTCAGGGAACAAAACGGTCGAGCGTTTTAGATCGCGGTTGACAGCGACTTTGTCTTCCAGAATCAACGTGACGGTCGAACGTTGGTTATCACAATCCCCCGTTCTGTCGTCTCTGGTGATCTTACTTCGGCATGTATAGTATCAAAGGCTGAGGCGTAGGACTGTTCGGGAACGGCGGTCGACTGTTAGGTCTTAGGCAGTACTATAACACCCCAATGTGCGTAACCCGAACCAACGAGTTAGCGAATCAGTTTGCAACTAAATTAGCATCAAACACAATAATTTTTAAAACAATTTAAAATATTTAATTCAAAACAATATTTAAATATCCATCGGCATTAACAAAACCGTGCGGAAGCTTTAAATAGTTAATTCGAATTACAACTTTGGGATCTTGCCCTTAAAATATAATAATTCTAACTTAATATCAAATAATAAATTCCTCCTGCTTGCATCCATCCATCTCTTCGCCCTCGCTGCCCTCCATAATTATTTTTTTATTCAGCATTCATATTACCTACATGTAGCAAATATGAAAAAGGACTACACGCTCAGCATTGAAGTTAAGTGAGAAATATCTAACATTTTGACTATGCACATAGACAAACCCACTGCTCATAACTTCATACAATATCATGCACATAAGTTCAACATATATAGTATCGATAATATCAGATAATTCATAAATCAAACATACTTACCAGAATTACCAAAATTATCTCATAACATTTTTCCTTATTTCTAAGTTCATAACCTATCATAGGCAAATGCCACTACTTTATTCTAGAGTCCTGATTCTACCACTGCACATCCATAGAAGAACCCACTCGGTACGATGTCATCCAATGTCGGCTGGGTGGCAAGGGCAAATCCATAACTATGGCTACAAAGTATGCATTCTAAATTATGAAAAGAATAAAAATGATTGGGTTGGTTTTGGGTTGTGCCCCGTCCAATTTATATATGCCCCAAATAATTTTATAAAATACCTAGCTCCATCTTTAAGAATAAATCCAAAGTTTTCGTATTTCTATTCTCCTTATTATTTTTATACTTTAATTAATTTAGTCATTATGTATTATGTACAATTTTTATGATGTGTTTATGAAATTATTTGTTTATGGAAAATGGTTGAGTTTGAAGTATACTACTACCTCCATTCCATAACATTTTTACAGTTTAGAAAAAATGAGATTTAAAAATGTATTATTTTAGTGTTAGTTTTCAATTTTATCAGTGTTTTATTGTCCGTAGTAGAGTATGATAGGATATAATGAGCAGACTAATATTGAATTGTTATAATGTGATACATTGATTAATAATTAGTAAGTGTAAAGGAAAGATTTTAAAAGTGAAAATGTTTTTTCAAATGGATGAAATGTGAAAGTTGAAACATTTTTCAAGACGAGATCATATTTTCTAAAAATTATATCAATGTGGAATAAAAATGTTATGTATGAAAAAAAATAATGCTTGTATAAAAGTAAGCATTTATAAATTTTAAAAAATAATTGAATATGGAAGTGATACATTTAAAATATAACTATTTAGTTGGATACTCTTCAACTTTTAGATGCCAAATGTGACCTAATCATCTAATTGCTCCATATTTTGATGGCTATTTGAGATTAGATTAATTACTCTATACTTTTTGGTCATTTGACATTTCTTTTAAAAATATCAAATGCCCTGCAACTTCTACCCCTAGTGTTCCCGGTATTGTAGTTTGAAGGAGTTAAAGGTGCCTCTGGTGAGATATTTTACTGAATCTGCCACTGCTGGGTGGGACTACCTACTCACATCCATGAGCAGATCTACGACCCCCATGCGCACGCTCTACACAACTGATCATGCGTGCACGTTGGCTCATCGCATGACCAGTTATTCCTAATCGTGTCCTTATTCTGTTTTCTCGGTCTACCTATAATTCAGCTAGGTAGCCTATCTCTATCAAAATTCATAATTTCATAT